ACTACTGTGGCGGCATGGTCAACGGAGCGGTCTTGTCCTTGATGCACTAGAGCAACACGCCGGTCACACCCGATCTTGTGCGACGTGGGAGCTCCAGTGATAGCTTGGCGCAGGGCATGGCCGACGACATGCCGGTCGCTGTGCGTTGACAGTGTAAAGAGACGAGGCTCAGTTGGTGTCGAGGCCGAGCCATCGTGGGGAGCTCGGCGGGCACGAATCCCGAGGCTGCCGAGACCCTGAAGTGGATTGCCGAGGCTTGGAGGGAGCAGTTGGTCCTATACACTGATTCCGAGGCTATAGTGACCCGGACTTGACTCCCCATGCCGTGTTGTTCCTGGAGCAGGAGTTAGGTAGCACAGTGCAGTACGGGCGTCAGTTATTGGCACAGTGCCGAGCACAGTGGCCGGTAACCCCTGTCCAGTCCTGTCTCCCGTCCCGTCGGCCACTTCGCTGTACTGCGCCGTCGTGCGGCTGACGTTGCGGGAGTGGTTGGACGTGTTAATTGGATGTGACGTTTTGTCAGAGAAGTCGGTTGAGACGGAGGCGACGAGGTTGTTGCCGAGCCGGCCTCGAGCGAGTCAGAGAATCGGTACTTTATCTGAGGCTTTATGCGCGGGGCCTCGGGCGAATCGAAGAATCGGTAACCCGTCCGAGGCCTTGCGGGGCAGGGCCTCTGGCGAGGGGCCCTCAGCGAGGCGGAGAGTTGGCTTTTCGTCCGAGGCCTTTGCGGCGCGGGCCTTGGGCGAATCGGAGAATCGGCCGAGGCCTCGTGGTTGTCCTTCGGCTTTGATATTTGCAAGGTCTAAGCAATCTTTTCTGTTCTTGCTTAGGGTACCCCTTTTTATGGTATCCGACATATAGGTAAGCCCGATAGTCATACTTCCTTTGTTCTAGCAGTTATGTTAGCAGAAGTGATAACTAATGAGGTGTGTTGAGACGTTGGTTAGGTCTCTTGTGCCTACTCCTTTCATCGTGTACTATAGTGCTTTATAGCATTCAAAATTTGTCTTCAAATATAATGTATTCTAGAGGACAAAAACCAACTATGCATTAAATACTTTCCATTTATCAACCAATCACCACTAATCACGATAATGGTAGCGTCTGGTTTAGAAATAAAATGAGGATACACGCATCTTTTATATTCTCTTAATTTGTCTTAAAATTTCTAGAATACACTATATTACAGGACATATGGGTAGATCCTAGAAGTTAGGAAGAGTTTCATGCATAGTAGAAGCTAGATGCGCGCTTGGGTTTCAATATTTAGTTACCACACGGTTATGTCTTGGAGTGTCATGTCATACTCAAAGTAATTACTGAAAAATCACGGGATATTTGTGAGTTGCTCTCTAATCTAGGACATAACGAGCTATCTTGGTTATTTATAATTTTATTATTAATCCATGGTGGTTATTGGATAGACCTGTCTTAGTAGGTAATGACACGTATACAATAAATATTTATCTTTCACATATATCATATTTACTAAGATACTACTTCATCCATTTTGAAATATTTTAGAGTTTTGCGGTTTGAGATAAGCTAATTAGTTTTATAACAAGCTAGTAATTAGCTTGTTTAAAAGTTATATATTTTAATATTACCAATTAGTGTGTAAGTATAGTTATTAATAACTATTTTCTTACCAATTAGTACTATCTCTGTCCATAACTAAATCAGTTTATAGAGTTGTCTTAAATAAAACTTTTTAAAGTTTATTTGAATTTGTAAAAAATCATAAATATTTATGACACCAAATTAGCACCGTTAGATACACCACAAGATATATTTTTGATAATGTATTTATTTGGTCATAAATATTTATGCTATTTTCTAGCAATTCAGTCAAACATTAAATAGTATGACTGAAAACAACCCAGAAACTGATTTAGGCACTGTTTAGATTGAAGCTGCTAAAATTTAGCCTAAACAAGTTACTAAACTTTAGCCACCCCATGTTAGTTTGGTGGACTAAAATAGCATTTTAATCACTTTTAGTCAGAGTGTTTAGATCCAAAGTGACTAAAAAGTAAGACAATTTGGGCTTTAGTTCCATTTAGCAATCCCTTGATGACTAATTGGCTAAATGCCTATTTAGTCTCATTTAGTCATAGTGTTTAGGTAAAAAGTGACTAAATGAGACTAAAATTAGCCGGCTAAACTTTAGCAGGGGTGTTTAGATTGAGCTACTAAAGTTTAGCCGACTAATTTTAGTCCTATTTAGTCATTTTTATCTAAACACTGTGATTAAATGGGCATTTAGCTAATTAGTCACGAAGGGGTTGCTAAATGGGACTAATGCTCAGACTGCCTCATATTTTAATCACTTTGGAGCTAAAACACCCCACGTAAAAGAGACTAAAAGACCTCAAACCCAAACCTAAGTGGCTAAAATTTAGCAGCTTTAATTCAGACAGGACGACGGAGTAGCAGTAGCGTGGAAGTGGCATAAAGCTATTTTCCCCAAATAAAACAGGAAAAGGCTGCTACCAGCACTAGCACAAACTGTTTTCCTACGTTGGGATGCTTTTTTACCGGAAGCAGGGATGAGTGTGTGTGCACGGAGCAAAATGGTCAGAGCCAGTAGGAACCAGGAACTACTCCAGTACTACTAGAGGCTACTAGAGCAGAGCAGTATAGGGTAGTGCGCTTTAGGCCAACTGCCAGCCCGGTGGCGTGGCCAGGTGGATAGGATGGGCTGTAAAAACTGATGCACGTGCAGGCAGGTGGCAGCCATCCGCCCATCCCTCCCCGTCCCTGTGACCCGAACTCCCCCCCGTGCTCCATCCGCGTCTCTCTCTCTCCTCTCTCTCGTGCTCCTATAGTTAAAGAAAAAAAAGGAAAAACCCACACACCCCACCTGTTAGTTAATAAAGAGTAGCCACCCTGGCAATGGGGGGACGAGGAGGGGCACGGCACGGGGCGGAAGAGACCAGAGAGCGAGAGAGAAACAAATGCAGAGCGGTTGCTCGGTTGTCTTCTCTTCTTGTTGGAACCGAGGAGAGCTGGGTGGGTGGGACCTGGGTGCGATGTGCGAAGGAACGACGCGGTTCCGTTAGCGGTGGGCGTTTGGTGGAACAACCTCTGAAAATTCCCACCCCGTGGTGATCCCGCGGGCGGCCACGACACACGGGACGACGGACAGGCTCGGCTCGCACGACAACCACCACACACACAAAGACACCCACACGACACAACCGAGAGCAGAAAAGAAAAGCGAGCGCGGATGCGGAAAGGAGGCCACGCGCCACGGGGCGGGGCGGTAGTACCCGAGCCCGAGCACAGAACAGCCATTCCCTCTCTCCGAGCTGCCCTTTTTGCGGTTCGGTTGGTTGGCTGCGCTGCGTTTTCCCCATAACGCCCCCGGCCCCTGCCGTGTCCACGTCGTTCGTCTTCGGTCGCTCCAACCTCCCTCCCTCCCTCCCTCGTCCTCCCCCCACAAATATATACTAGTCCCAGCAACCACCACCCGCGTCTCCCCCACCCCGTTCCGTTCCGTCCCGTTTACTCCTTCCCCTCCTCTCTCCTTCCGCCTCCCTTCCCCTCTCCTCCCCCGCGGCCGGCGGCCGGCCGACCCCTCGCCTGACGGCCACCACCGCCGGTGGGGCCCACTGCCCTGCGCTCCCATTGCTGGCCAGGCCCTCCTCCCTCCCCACCGCCTCTGTCCGGCGTCGCGCGGGAAACCAACCAACCAACCCACCCCCAACGAGAGAGAGAGAGAGAGAGAGGAGGCCGCCTCCTCCTCCTCCCGCATCGGATCCCCGGACTCCTCTCCCGCGCGCCGCGGGGACCTCCGGAGGGGAATGTGGGACCCGTGCCGCCGGAGATTTCTCTAGAGGCTTCTCCGACCCACCGCCCAGCGACACGACATATGGTGAGTCCTCTCTCCCTCCCTCCAGTAGATCTGCGCCAATTTCCTCCGCCGCCGGCGTGCTCCTCCGCTCGCGCGCTTTTTCCTCTCGTCGCCGCGGCAATTAACCACCGCCAACACCACTAGTAGTATCCTCGCGAGTGGTTACTGTTTGATTCCTCGTCTCCTGTCTTCCTCTGTTTTCGCCTGTTTTTCCGCCAAAAACCAAATCAAATTAAATTCTCTTATCTAGATTTTCATTAGTTAATTAACGGCCCAACCAGTGGATTTCGCCTCCAGTTGCAACAATTCGGCGGGAAACGTTCCTGGGTAGATGTGAATTAGCGTCCGTGAATTGCTGCTGCTCGTACGTGCGGTGCCGGTAGCAACTCCTTTTCCTACCCAATTCGGTAATTTCGTTTGTTTGCCGCCTCCCGGTGAATTCCTGCTCAGTCAATGCTGGAAAAGTAGGAGTCCTTTTTTTATCTTTCATTTATGGAAAACTCCTCAAATCCGGCCCCTAGGAATTAGGATCACATCAGATTTACACGACCCAGGTGAACCAGTCAACTCCAACCTTCCTACCCCTCATTGGCCGCCACCACCTGTCGTAACATGGAATTTTCTTTGGCCTCTCCCCTCTCCCATACGGCTATCGGTTTCCGTCTCGTTTTCGTTCTGGGTTGTGCGGGTAGTATATGAGGTTGAAGATACTCCTGCCGAATCACCACTAGTGCAAGTCGCGTTACGGGGCTTTGTCCGATTCTTGCCGTGTGGACGCGTGATTGTTGCCGTGTGGACGCGTTTGTGCGCCACCTCTCACCGGCACCGCCCTTTTTCCACAAATTTCTTCTCCTTCAGCTCCACCATGGTCGTCACGCATGTGCGTAATTGCCCACTTTGACCGCGTCTGCGGTCTGCTTGGAAGATTTCTCTTCTCTTCTCTTTTTTTTCTTCTTTCTTTCTTCTCAGAGGGCCTACACGCCGTTTTTTATATGTTCTCATTATGCTGAAATCTCTTGTTCTAATTCTGACAAAAGTTAAGCTAATGACTTAATCATGTTTTATTTGTTACTGCTATCATTATTAAGCATCTCGCACTGTTATGGATAATTGGATAATTGATTGACTATACAAACTAGAGCGCATGGCTGCTAAAAGTCATACTGCAAAACTGATTGTGACTATGGCCGTGGTAGGGAAACAACCCCAAGAATATCAATGTGCCGTGTTTGATTTCAGTACCTACAGCTTTCTTGACTTGGTTGCCGAGTTGCTCCTCTTTTGGTACTCATTCAGTCTGCTGTCTCTGTTTGACGCGTTTACCTATGCCTCAGGTGGAGGGTAGGAGCTGTCTCCCTGCAGAGGTCAGGAACGGCCTCGAGACCCTGAAGCGGAGGAGGCTCGAGAGAATGCGTTTGAGTGCTCAGAACGAAGCGGGTGACAATCCTGCGGTGGCTGCAAGAAGCGGTGGTGATGCCTTGCGGAGCCCAGCTAACTGCGGGGTCAGATTGCATTCCAACAACAGTACAGGTTTACCTGGAAATGTCCAGGACAAGAATCCTTTTGCAAAGCGCAAGGTGGACAAGTTTGATATGTCCAACCTTGAGTGGATAGACAAGATACCAGAGTGCCCTGTGTATTGTCCCACCAAGGAGGAATTTGAGGATCCCATTGCTTATATACAGAAGATTTCACCTGAGGCTGCTAAATATGGTACGGTTGCCTTTAGCATTATGATAATGTCTCTCACTCATTGATCCAATGGCCTCGCTAGACATTTTGAATAACTATGACTGTGTTACTTCTATTTCAGGTATTTGTAAAATCGTCTCTCCTGTAAGTGCGTCTGTTCCTGCTGGTGTTGTGCTGATGAAGGAACAGCCCAGTTTTAAGTTCATGACTAGAGTTCAGCCCCTTCGTCTTGCTGAATGGGCTGAGGATGATACGGTCACTTTCTTCATGAGTGGAAGGTATGCCCACTGTTTGTCTATTTTCATTATTGCTTTAGCTCATGTTCCAAACTAAATCATGATTGGCATGACTCTGCAGAAAGTACACCTTCCGGGACTATGAAAAAATGGCAAACAAAGTGTTCTCTAAGAAATATTCCAGCTCTAGTTGTCTCCCAGCCAGGTATGTGGAGGAGGAGTTCTGGCGTGAAATTGCTTTTGGGAAAATGGATTTCGTAGAATATGCTTGTGATGTTGATGGGAGTGCCTTCTCTTCTTCTCCTCATGATCAACTTGGGAAAAGCAACTGGAACCTCAAGGTGAATATTCTTTCTTTGATCTTCCATGCATGTGTGGTCGTTTGTTGTATTTGCTACATGGTCCTTATTGATATTCTTTTGCATGCCTGTAGAATTTTTCACGGCTCCCCAGTTCTGTTCTAAGACTTCTTCAGGCACCAATTCCAGTAAGTAATATAATTCTATTAGTTCTGTACACTCTTTACCACATCACATGTCATGATTGTTAACAATTCTGGTCTGAAAACAGGGAGTGACAGATCCAATGCTTTATATTGGGATGCTCTTCAGCATGTTTGCATGGCACGTGGAAGACCATTATTTGTACAGGTAAAATCTTGAGTCTTGTGAGATTGATTAACTACTTGTCTTTTAAAGGCCGCTAGTGCTGATTTTGATCATTTGACCAGCATCAATTACCATCACTGTGGGGCATTTAAGACATGGTATGGGATACCAGGCGATGCGGCTCCTGGGTTTGAAAGGGTTGCTAGCCAGTATGTATATAACAAGGATATTTTGATTGGTGATGGAGAGGATGCAGCATTTGATGTCCTACTGGGGAAGACAACAATGTTCCCTCCAAATGTCTTGCTAGATCACAATGTTCCTGTCTATAAAGCTGTACAAAGACCTGGAGAGTTTGTTATTACTTTTCCACGTTCTTACCACGCAGGCTTCAGTCATGGTATGCCTCGTGTTTTTCTTTCAGTTTTTGATTTACTGCATTATGTATCTATATATATCCTAAGAAATTTGTGAATTACCCAGGCTTCAATTGTGGAGAAGCTGTTAATTTTGCTATTGGCGATTGGTTTCCTCTTGGTTCTCTTGCTAGCAAGCGCTACGCACTTCTGAACAGAACTCCATTGCTTGCACATGAGGAGCTACTTTGTCATTCTGCTGTGCTTCTCTCCCAAAAGCTGTTGAACTGTGATCCAAAATCCTGGGACAAGTTGGAACATCCGAATTCCCAGTATTGTGTGAAATCCTGCTTTGTGCGGTTGATGCGATTCCAGCGATGTGCACGTGGCCTACTTGTTAAAATGGGTTCTCAAATATGCTATAAGCCGAAGACATTTCCAAATCTGTCCTGTAGCATGTGCCGGCGTGATTGCTATATCACACATGTGTTGTGTGGATGTAACTTTGATCCTGTCTGCCTACATCATGGTAATTGTGCTAATGTCACTGTTTCTGTATCTTTATTTAATTTTCTTGGCTAATTGTTTCTTTTAATTGGGGGTACAGAACAAGAACTGCGGAGCTGCCCTTGCAAGTCCAATCGTGTTGTCTATGTTAGAGAGGACATACTGGAGCTAGAGGCTCTATCAAGAAAATTTGAGCAGGATGTGTGCTTGTCTAAGGAAAGAAGTTGCATTGGCTCATTTAAGGAGGCTGAGATCTCTGATACTAATGTTGAACGAGTCCCTAATCTTGGGATTACTCAGGATTTTGGTAATAGTAAAGCTGGTAGCTCAGGCTTTATGACTGTTGATGGGGGAAACAGTTCTGCTGCAGTATCAATTTTGACATCTTCTGCGCATCATAAGGCACCCAAGCATTCAGAAGCAAGGGTGGGTTTACTAACCCTGTATTGAAACGTTTCTCCAATTGCTATCCTCAGTTAAATAAATTCTTGCTTCTTAGGTCCATGCAAAACAAACTAACCAGATTTATTCCACTGCAAAGCAGGCAATAAATACATCAATGACCAAAGGAACTTACACTGTGGATGACAGTTCATCCAGCATGGATGATGCTTGTAATGAACACGGTTCATGTAATGCTTCGGCCATGGAATGCAGTGATAATTCCGATTCTGAGTCTGAAATTTTCCGAGTCAAGCGCAGGTCCACCTCGTTTGACAAACCTACTTCTGAAACAAAGGCGTCAACCTTGTCTGAACAGCAGGTATGTTATGTTATGATCATGTATTGGCAGAGAGGAAACCATTTTATTTCAATTTATTTCAGTCGCCACTTTTTTTTACTTTACCATGTAGAGATGCAGTATTTCAAGGTAGTTTATAGGTTCATTGGGAGAAGCATATGCAATAAGCATGACAGTGAAGTGACGTGTCTTAAAGTCACAAATGTTTTCATACATGTCCAGTTTTTAGATAGTATATATAGTGGACTCTGCTACATCATATATCCTTTAGTTGAGTTTCCAGCTCTAGTTGTTCAACACATGAGTTCTTTAAATCACACAGTTAGCAACCCAATACAAGTTTGGAACATAATTTTCATAATATAAGACTTGCTGTCATCAGGTTCTGAGGCGGCTGAAGAAGGTACATCCTGAAGTACAGCAGGTCAGTAAGCGTCCAGAAGAATATGATAATGGTTCAGTTCACTCTGCCCGTATGAGCCAGAAGAGCTCAAATCCTGCCTCTTCTGATGATGAAAGAGAGGACAAGGTTCCCATTTCTTGGAGGATAAAGCGGCGACAGATGGAAACCCAGCACAATGTTACAAGTCCTGGTGCGAGACTGCAGTCATATCCGGCTTCCAGTGGTGGTTCTCGAGAAGAGTCTGCGGAAAGAAGCAGAGATGCTGCAGCAGAGCTCCGTCCAAAACGAGTGAAAATCCGGCTACCTTCTAGTGCCATTAGGCAGATTGAGCCGCAGGGCAGTTCGGGGCAGAGATTTGCGAGGGAGGACAAGTTGTCGCTTGGTTTTCCACGTACATTTTAGGGAATCACAGGTGCTAACCTCTAACTGAGCAGAAGAATTCTTTGTTTAGGTGCATTGTTAACTACAAGACGAGGTGACAGAAGAGAGGAGTGGGAGGGATCAGGTCAGGTGGTGATTGTGACAAAGCTGATTTGATTAGCACAGGTGCAGACTGACTTTAGAATTGGCAGCAAAGGAAGTGGCTGGCTAATCGATTCTTTTGTGCAGCAGGGCCTCCAATTTGAGGCCTCTGGGGGCACTCTTAGAAGACACACGTGATAATATTCTTGTTGCTGGAGGTTCCGTGTCACTGCCGGTGGCTCTTTGATGCCTGGCCATCAGTGACAGAAAATTAAAGAGAACCTCGCTACTTTGATTTCTCTGCAAGTGTTTAGAGCCTGTAGCTAGCTTAGCTGTATATCTCTCTCACTTTGCCTACGGCCTTTCCTTTTCTTTTTTATTTTGTAATTTACTGTAAACAGGCTTAGCTGCTACACTATGGCTAACTCTATTCTTTTGTTGGTTTAGCCTGGCGCTGGTTAACGTTCAATTCAATCGAGATTCATTTCCTTTTCGGATGGTTGGTATATGTTCTGGTGTTGCTGCTCTCAACTGTGGGTGGAATGCACTGTTGGCATGATACCGATTTCTGTCAATAGGAACAACTCGGTTTTTACAAAAGAATGGAATGAAACTACTAAAAGAAAACTTGATAGAAACATCCGAAATGTGCCTATTATGATCACACTAGGATATGGTAAATATGAACGTGACGGGGAGAACTGTGAGTGATTGAGTGATGAGACAAAGGACGGGGACATCGAAGTTTATCTGCCAGTTAACAGGAGAACGATCAGGTCAACTGGTCAACGCAACGCACTCGAGTGGACCGTCACGTGTCATCTTCGATCTCTGTTCGATGGCGTGCGTCCCCGTCCCCGCTCTTCGGCCAGAACAGTATTTTTTTCTCATATTAAATCGAGTCCGTAGTAATAATTCATGATCGTATACGATTGTTTTGAGCCTCAACCTAACAGGCTTTACGATGTTGTCGCCCCCACCATGCTGCCAGCTCCTTGTCGCCCACTAGTGACCACTTTCCGTCCTCCGCCGTTGTGGTCGGTGGACGGTGTCGCCGCCCTCACCGTTCCGATTCGCGTGCCAAACCAAGTTTTTTTTTTTTTTGAGCAGAGCGTGCCCAACCAAGTGACAACAGCCATCGACAGCGACGAGATTGGGTTTGGACTCGGGGATGTGACGACAGGCCGACAACTGAGGTTTGGGCCAAAAATTACAAAGCCCAGCCCAACACACGCACGCGCAAATCTTGCAAGCAGACCATCGTCGCCTCTGCCCTCTGGCAGGCAGCAGAGAGCAGACTAGCAGAGGCAGACGCTGCGTGGGACCAGACCGGAGCTCTTGAGGGAGTTCCACTCCAGGGGCTGGAGCAGCGGCAGCGGCGAACATGGCTGCTTGTGCTTGCTCCTCCGTTCCCTGCTCCTTCCCCACCAAGCCAGACCCTCACCGCCGGGACCGCGGCAGCCTCCCAAGCTCTCGTCTCCCTTGGCTCCCCGCTACCTAGTTTCGTCGGTTTCGATCACTCTCTGCCGCCGCCTCGCCGTCGGCGAGTCGCCTCCTCCCACGAGCCTCCGTGTCCGCGTCGGCCGCCCCGTCTTATTGGGGATTGCTTACTTGTTTGCTAGCTACCTTATCTGCTCATGCCCGTAACGATTGACCAAGGCCTCCAATCTGACGCACCAGATTATGTCACCTCGCTTACTCTCCGTTGCTCATTTAATTCGTGTACCAACAATAGTGTCTGCAAAAGCTTTAGCACCGCTTTCTTCCAGTGACTTGTTTACTGGTTGTCGGTATAGAATTTTGTCCCGTGCCGAGGACACACGTAGCAAGTTGGAAGGATCCGTTCGATAGAGCAGATCTGTTTAGTTTCAACGTAGAGATGATTGATTCTACGCAATCCTCCCAAGACGTGCCAGTCAATTTGACCAAGCAATTGACAAGGAGAGAAAGTTCATCAGTAATTAAGGACGAAACTTACCGGTGTTGCCAGAGAGTCCCGAGTGTACGGCTATGAGAGCCGATATGAAAGGAAGTCGGCTAAATAGTCGATTCTAGTATATTCATGAGAATGAGTCAGTTAAAGCTCATGAGATTGTATAAGAAGAATCGGTTGTCATTTATGATAAGTATCATTTAAATAAATATTAATCAATGGCAATAAGATATCAATGATGAACAGTCCATACTGAGCCAAGGATTACGAGTAACCGAACTCCTTTTTATATAAAGAAATAATTCAACATCACTTAACCATTTAATAAAGATAAATTAATGAACATGCTAGATCTCATCTATCACCATGACCAGTGGAGCATGAGGCAGAATCATGCAGGCCGTAGAAACAACAATAGACTCGACGACCCTAACTCATTATTAATATTAGTGGGACATGAGACAGAATCATGCAGGCCGTAATACAATAATAAGATTATGGGGCTAACATATCTTTCAACTTATCTCTACTTCAACGGTCTCGTGATGTGAACTACTCGTGAAAGCGCTCGATATCGGCTAAACAGCCGATTCAGACATAACGCACAGTTAAGGTCATGTCTTCTCAGGAACGGGTCTACCAACCAACGATCCCCACTCCACGGTACCAACAGTGGGGGTGAGAGGCAGAATCCCACATGCCATGATGACGGGCCATGAAACGGTTCTCGCTAACCAATAGATCTACTCAAGATCGAACATGCCTTAACCGCATGCTATGCACGATTAAGATTGACGCAAAACAGCCGATAAAAATATAACTCATCGCTTAAGATGTAGATTAGATCAGTTTTAGATTAGCAAACGATGAGTTAAACAAGATATAAGGCCGATCCAGGTCAATCTCAATCAGGCAGAGTGATATTGCTGTAATTAGATAAACAATGAAAGCAATGAGCAATATCGGTAACTTAATGAATCTACCAAAGACTGCCACTCTAAGATAGAGCCGATAACTTGACCTTGATCCAATTTAAGCAGTGGGGTGTGAGGCAGAATCACACAGATCATACTTGAATTAGGCAAGAGTCGATAACTAGCTTATACCAGAGCCATAGTGGGGGTCGACCGGATCGATGCAGCCATACGAACAGAGGTATAAACCATGACGGTACTTACAACAAGCAGTGGAGGTCGACCGGATCGATGCAGCCGTACTTGCCGAAAAACTCGTCGAGATTTACTCTACTCCTACTCCTAAGGGGTGGCCGGAGCCGAAAAAAGTAATTTACTTGTATTTGATTGATTGTGTTTTTTACAATAGTCGGGGCTTGGTATTTATACCGGGACTTGCGCACGACTCCTATCTAAGCACGACTCATCACAAAATTTGACTCTAAAGAAAACATTCTTAATTTAAGATAACTTGGACTCTAATCTTTTCCTTTTGTAGAGTCCAACGTGTTTTCGTCCTAGCGTCGAGCGTAGCCTCTGTCGTCATCTGCTAGCGCTGTCCGAAGAAAGCCAATTCCTAGATTTTGCATCTAAATCAGCTGTTTCTGATCCGCCTGCAACTGATTCCTTGATGATACGATCCTGGGAGCTTCTGAGCCCCTGTGACTCTCCTCCCAAATTTGGGTGTAAACACATGCCCCCCCAATTTTAGGACAAAAGAAATTTTGTTCCAAAATTATCATGTCCGTGCCCCCAATAGGCCCGTAGTCACGGGTAAGGAATCTTGATCTAGGGTCTACTATTCGTCGCCATCCATATCAACTCATGAGCCCATGCTTCAAAACTTTTTCAGAGCATTATTGCTTCACGGGCGTTTGGATTCATCTTTCCAAGCCGGCTATAAAAATGGCTATCCGATCCTGGTGAGAGCAACTCAACACTTCAGCCATGTTTCTCTTCCATCTGTCTTTTCGAGTGCTCCCAACTCCGCCGGACCCTCCATGACCTATCCTTTTACGACGAAGATCTTGAAAGGTTAGAAGAATTCTTGTGCATAGGGTGACTGTGTCGTTCATTCTAGTGACTCGTTGAGCAAGAAGACCAGCTATGGCGGTTAGAAGGATTCTTGTGATATCATATGAGTCTTCTCTCCATGCTCGCAGAGCTATAGGGGCTAGAATGTGCGAATACCCTCCTCCTATTTAATTCTCTAAATGCCCATTGGAAAAGTCACAAGCTTCTTTCCATCGGCTCTTTGATCACCGAGAAGTCAACTGGGCATCTAGGCAGGTGGCTTCTCCCCTTCTTTGGCACATTTTATCAATGGGCCGATGTGACTTGGTTCAGATGACCCTCGGCCTTGTGAGGACCCGAACTCCCTTCAATCCAAAGAAGCTTTGGTGGGTCGATTTTTGGTCAATGTAAGCTCTTCGTATCCGTCCCACAATGCTTCATAATTTGGGGAAGCGATAAGTTCAAATCTGTTACCTCCCCGTTATCCGTCCCCTGAATTCCTGGAGTGTCGATCTATTTTCGTCTCTGATTTCAATTTCATATTTCCAGTGAAACCGACTTTGCCTTCCCGGGCTATATATACGGGCCATAGCTGAGGGTCAAGCAACAACCCGCTTCGTCTCAATCCCTCAGTATCCTCAGTGTAGTTCCTGCTTTCCGTAAGCTTGAGATCATGGAGAATAGCAAGAGGTTTGCTGAGGGGGTTCTCGACGGATCTACATCATCTCGCCAGCGCCTCCACCGTCAAGAGGGTGCAGTTCATGATGCATATACTTCCTCAGGTCATAGGGCCGTCTTTGTTCAGCCTTTGGGGTCTTCCCTATCGGTAGCTCATCGCTAGCTTCCTTGCTATCCACGGCGGTGGATCGGCAATGATGACCTGCTCACCACCATTGACAGTCATGGCCAGAGTCTCACCGAGTGTCTATCCCTCATAGAATCGGCCCTGGCCATGGTTCGATGCCGATCACCTCCTGCGATCGATTCGGTGGAGGATAGGTTGGCCGAGGCCGAGGCCAGAATTGTGGGTGAGATACCTG